CAGTTCCTAGTAAGGCCGCCTTTTGCAATTGACTAATAGCGAATTTGTCAATGCCAGTGGTGTTCAAGTGGTGCTCCAGTTGTTTTGGGATTGCACCCAAGGCGCCTATGACTATTGGTATTACCCTTGCTTGCTTTTGCCACCGTCTTTCTATTTCTATTTGTAGGTATTATTATTATTATTATTTTATTTTCAGTCATTCATGGAACCTCCTATTTCAGTAGTTACTTTTCCATTCCTAGAAATTTCTCCCTTCCCTTTTGCGATTTTTATCCCACTTCTGGTATCCTAGTTAAGGGCACGTTATTGGCTAAAACATTTTGCAGTGGCACATATTTAATTTAGATCCTCTTTCCCTGAAAGCTTTCACTAAGAAATAAAAGGTTCCCTACATTGCCCACAGAATTTCTCTTCTTCGCTTGGATTTTCCGTTCTGGTTTCCCCCCCCCCCCCCGACTAAAATAAATCAGTGGGGGACAATCTTAGTTTAATTAAACAACGGGACATCAGTCGCTTACTAACTATTACGGTCTCCTCTTAGAATCCTAACTTTTTAGCGCCTTTCGCTTCTGACAAGCAAGACTTTGAAACAAGCCCTGAAAGTGTTTTGAATGCATCGCAGGGACCTGCCAATCACTTAACCTACATTCAACTTTTGCAGCTCCTGCAGTGGTTAATAGTTTGTGTCAACAGCAAATGAATAAATGAGTGGGCAGAATATGCATGTCTGTAGCAAGGACAACGGCCTGTCCTAAACCTCATTTCATTGTTCAAGCGTGAGAGCAGGCAGCTGACCGAGGATCTTATACTCCCAGTTACAATGCCGAAACCTAGGAAAATCTGTGTGGCTATTTATTTCTGCCCCAACTCTCTCTTTTTTCTTTTTTTTGTCCTCTTGGAATTTGGAAAACATCTTGACCGACACATTTAACTTAAAATAAGTGGTGTCCAGTGACACTTTGTATTTCCATTAAATTGCATTAAATTCTACTACGAACAATGCTAAATTTAAAAAAAAAAGAGTTAATTACCTGAAGTGCTGAACATAATTGCTTATATTTCAGGATCCGTGTGCGCATAGCATGCATTTAGAGTGTTGCTTAAATGCTTTATATCTTGTTAAGTATGTTTATATGGACTGTGAATTCTTTTGTTAAGTACCTGAAAAAAGTGTTGCTTTGTTAGCGTACTGCTAGTGTGGCTAAACATTAGCAGCCATAATGTGTAATCCTTGCAGCTGGGACAGGTTTGTATGCATTTGATTAAAGTAAAATCAATGCTTCCCAATATCTATTAAATTATAGCAGTTTTCCTTATATTAATTACTATGTGAGAGATTGCTTTCAGGCACTCCTTTCCCTCTAATTATTAGATATCAGTTAATGATCTATTTAGAATTCAGTTGTTGAAAGCAAAGCCTATAATTTATATTTCACATGTTAGCTGGGTATTATTTTTGTTGTGTCTACAGAATCCCTGTTCCTCTTTAAAAAAAAAATCCAGAAAAAAAAGACCCTTGTTAAAACATTGCTTTATGCACTGTAACATGGCATACTTATCAAAACATTAATCATAGGCAGTTAATTTAATTTACGTATAATTTTGCAAACATTCAGATGGTTGATGAGTATTTTGCACAGTCAATTGTGAACTTTCAGATATGAAAAACTTTTTAACAGTCTTGCTGAGAAAGGCATTAAATTCAAATAATATTTTGGTGTGTGTGTGTGTGTGTGTGTGTGTGTGTGTGTATATATATATATACACACACACACACACACACACATACATATCCGTTAGTAATTAGAATTAATATGTTGATTTAACATCTATAAGGATGGGAATAAACTCTTAAGAAACAAAGGAATCGTGCTCAGTTACCTATAAAAGTTAAATAGATAATCATTGTCTTCATTATTATCTTTTCTATGACAAAAAGTTTATCTTGTTGCTCTTGTGAACACACTTGGTTAGCAAATATTAGTGATTCCAGTCCTTCAGATTGGAAGTACAGTTGGGAAAAATGTTCCTTATGAATGATTTAATCAAGAAGGTATATTTCAAATTCAGATGGAATCAAGCACAGAGATAATGCGGAACCAAAATAATCTATGTAAAACATTGTGTCAGAGACAGATATCATGAAGGATCTGACCTTAATCAGAATTGATTTAAAGCCATTTTTTTAATTATAGGATGGAGATTCTTCACAGGTTTATTATCTAAACTGCCATTAAAATTTCTCCCATTTTTAAAACATTATTGATTCAAGAAAAGAGCACCCTTGAATCCATAAAACTGATCTGATGTTTAAACTCTGTTCTTCAGATATGGTTTGCATTTGTCAACGGATTTTCTGGACAGATCCTGTTTGAAAGATGGTGCATAGGACTTTATAATGTGGTAAGTTTTTACAATTAATTTCTTTGACAACGCTAATGGTTAAAATACGTTGAATGTTCATTACAAATTTTTGTTGCTGTGTTTGGTTTGCACATTAGATGTTTACGGCTATGCCCCCCTTGACGCTTGGAATATTTGAGAGATCCTGTCACAAAGAAAATATGCTAAAATACCCTGAATTATACAAGACTTCCCAAAACGCTCTGGATTTCAATTCAAAGGTAGTTGGAAATCATTTGTAATTATTTCACCTACAGCTGTTTGATCCTATTTTGCAGCAATGTGATTAATATTATTTAAATATAAGTTTGATGATGGTGGTCCCCTATATCTCAGTCAGCTCCAGTAACGATAAAATCCAATCCTGTCTTTCTTCTGTTTTTTGAGCTAGCTAGTTTTCCAGAGAAAAGCTGTTCATGAATATGCATAAAATTTTCAGAGGAGGATTTAATGCGATAAAAAGGCAAACAAATGAATCATTCATGTGTATGGAAGTGTTTTTTTGTTTTTGCTTGTTTATTTACACTTTGGGGGGTTCACGCGAGCCATGAATTTTTTATATTATGAGCAAATAAATAATAAATAATTTTCAAATTATTTATCCTGTTCCTTTAAAAACTTTTTTAAAAGCAGCATGTGTAATAGATACACAATTTCCAAGTACTGATGTACTAGTTAGAGTTTTAAGGGTAATTATAATCTGAAATCTGAATCCGAGAGTGTATATTTTGCCAGTTAAATTACGTAGCCCAGTTAGTATAATTTTTTGTATCATAACACACACAACCAAGTGAAATCTCAACTGCAGATTCTTAGCTGGTGTGGACCTTCATTTCCATTGTTGTTATATTGTTTTTCTGTATATAATTCTCTTTATTAGGTATAAGTAAACAACACAAATACATGTAGAACACTTAAATATGGACTAATGTTGGTGATTTTATTAACACCGAATTAATTGTCACCAAATTAATTAACAGAATAATTATACAGGTCATGTTTTAAATTAATGTGGTTGATGTTTTATTTGTTTCTATTTCAATGCCTCTTATTTATAGCACTTTGAAACTTTAAATAGCTCAAATGTCCTGAGTTTCTTAAATGCTGCTTACATTTTTTTTTACATTCCTTTTTTATTAAATACAAATTACAGTATAAATAATTGTGTAGACCAGATAGATCCAAACGAAATTCAGCAATTTACTCTGATAAACTTCCTGCCACAGTTTTTGCATTGTCTTTCTTTAATACATGTAATTATTTTTGAAGAGGTTCAGTGAATGCAAGTGAAGTTGTTATATTTGTACAGTGTCCTTTTTTAGTTTTGTTTTGCACAATTGTGAATGTGGTCAAATTCCATGAACCATTCAGTTGTAAATGTTTTCATTGTATTTTATATTTTAGAAACTGATCTGGCTTATACCTTACATTGTTTTTTATTTTAAATAGGTTTTACAATTTCAATTGGTCTGTAAAGAGAGATGTTTTTGGTTCGATATGTGGAAGTTTTAGAATTTTTGTTGCCCTAAATTATAATGCACAGATTCATTGCGATCAAAAAGGTCAAAGTTCAGGGGCCACAAAGAGAGGTTAAAGGATTAACATGGGACAATAAGTATTCACCATAAAAATGAAAAAGCCGTCCTAATTTTCTCAGCTTTTTCTCAAATAATATTCTTTTGTCAATGTCACAGCAAGGAGAGGTTAATGAGTAACACCAAAGTTCAAATATGCAAAGTATTGTGGCATAAATTGGATCGTACAACCTTACCCAGTTAGATGATATTACAAAGATGTTACAAGCAAGGTAGAAAATTTTTTGAGGCAGAGAACATAATTCTGTTCTTTGAACAATTTCAAGCGGCTAATAGCACAATAAAGATTGTGACTTGTAAAAAGCATGTTACATGGTACGACAAAACAACTTTGACAGAAATTGGAAAATGTTTTTTTTTTCTTACTTACTCTTCAAATGACCCTCTCTGTACATAAATACAGAAAAACACATAGACTTCTTGGTACTTTTTTGATACAATTGTATTATAATCTATATTTGTAACATTTTAATCATGGAAATGGTATAAATCAAAAACACTTCATGTGCACAATTAATTGGCTTAATATGGATACTTGTGATTAGCAACTATTGTTTTTCATTTGTTTTTGGCTTCACTATTTAAAAATACATACACATACACACATATATTTGTTGGAAAGGCATACCAGAACACTGATCTCCAGGACAAAAAGTTTTATTAAAATACTTTTAAAATGTGTGTGTGTGTGTGTGTGTGTGTGTGTATATATATAGAGAGAGAGAGAGAGTTGTGTGTGAGTGTGTATATACACGCACGTATGTATGTATATAATATAAATTTATATTTATATATTATATATTTAATATACAATATATATAAAAAGTCAAAATTCACAGAAGTTACTTTTATCACAGCGACTCACTGTTTTCGCTTAGGTTTTCTGGATCCATTGTTTAAATGGCCTCTTTCATTCAGTAATTCTGTTTTGGTTTCCGCTAAAAGCCATCCAGAGTGGTAAGTAAATATTTTTTAAAAAAATAAAAATAACTGCATTCATACTAGAAATGTACAAATTTGTTTGTTTGTTCGGTTAACAAATCCATACAGCCAGTCATTAGCCTGACGAAATCATCCAAATAATCAGGGTTATAATCTGGGAAGATTATATTTCCGAAATATAAAACTGAATCCATAAATGTTCAGGTGGTGGTCGCCCATGTGCAATCTGTCTTGAAATAGTGACCCTGCAGCCTTGGGATGGAAAACTGAGGGGAAAGGTAGATATTTATCTCAGCACTTCCTTGACCTATCTGAGCCCTAGAAAGTTGCAAGACATGTTTTTGCCCAGATGGAAAGACCTAGACCAGGGGTAGGCAACCTTGGCTCTTTTATGACTGGTGGACTTCAACTCCCAGAATTCCTGAGCCAGCATGAGGAAACTATGGCCCCTTAATGACTTGTGGACTTCAACTCCCAAAATTCCTGAGCCAGCATGAGGGAAACTTTGGCCCCTTCATGACTTGTGGACTTCAACTCCCAGAATTCCTGAGACCAACATGGCTGGCTCAGGAATTCTGGGAGTTGAAGTCCACCAGTCATAAAAGAGCCAAGGTTGCCTACCCCTGATCTAGGTCTTTCCATCTGGGCAAAAACATGTCTTGTGTGAAAATCAAGGTCATTGAGCCAGAGCTGAGTAAGAATTAGCAGGCTGGAGAACTGGAGAGGAAGCCCATGAGCTTCAAGCTAATTGGGGAATGTGATTTATGACTGTTAATTGGAGGAGGGAATTGTGCTTTGATGCTATGTGCCCAGGGGAGGGAATTCAGTTTTTAGCTTTGATTATGTAAGTGCCGATATCATGCTACTCAAATAAAAGATCCTTTAAGGTAAACAATGCCTCTTTGAAGTTCTTTTGAAGAGTTTAATCTGACGGAACCGTGACACCTAATCTCTTAGTTAGTGTTGGCAATGTTATTATTTTACAGATACTGTGTTTGCCAGCGGTAGAACTTCGGACTACTTGCTTTTGGGAAACTCCGTATATACAGTAAGTTCTCCTCATATTAATCCAGCTGAGATCTTAAACCGGAAGGAGCAATGTATGCTGCAGTGACCTCACTGAGGAGTAGTAGTAGTAGTAGTAGTAGTAGTAGTAGTAATAATAATAATGTTGGAAGGGACCTTGGAGGTCACTTAAGAGCCCTGATAGCGCAGTGGTTAGAACGCAGCATTGCAAGCTAATTCTGCCCACTGCCAGGAGTTCGATCCTCAAGACTGACTCAGTCTTCCATCCTTTTGAGGTTGGTAAAAGAGGGTCCAGATTGTTGTGGGGGGGCAATAGGCTGACTCTGTAAACTGCTTAGAGAGGGGCTGTAAAGCAGGGGTGCCCAAACCTCAGGCTATGGACCAGTACCACTCCGTGGCCTGTTAGGAACTGGGTTGCAAAGCTTCATCTGCACATGTGTGGGGCTAGGTAGCATGTGAAAGCACACGCCCCTGTCCCGTGGTGCCCAAGAGGTTGGGGAACATTGCTGTAAAGCACTGTGAAGCAGTATGTAAGTCTAAGTGCTTTTGCTAGCTACAACCAAAGACCAAGTCACTTGGTCTCATTTTCATATAAGAGCAGTCCTCTGTTGATTGTCTACTTTCAGATCCGTGATAATCATTGTTTTGTTTTTCCAAACAATGTCTTCATATAAGCAAAGCTTCTTGGTGTTGTGCCCCAGGGGACATGAGGACAATTCATGGGTTGAGTTTGTGTGTTTTCCTCAGTCATCCTTTGCAAAATGCGCACACACAAAGATGCACACTCACTCACTCCTAAGCTCCAGAATATAAGTAACTTGTGCGCACTCAACCCCTACCTGAATGCAGAAGCAAATTAACAAGTTTCTCAAATTATGTATGTACAGATGTTAGAAGGTTAAACATTTCTTTGATTACAAAATCATGTATTTCAATCTGAGTTAAACGTTAACCTGGTCAGGAAAAGTAACATCTCTCCTCTTTTTAGTTTGTGGTCATAACTGTGTGCTTAAAAGCTGGATTGGAGACTTCATATTGGACTTTGGTAAGATATCTTTAAAATATTACAACACAATAAATGATAGCAGTTCATTTCTATTTAGGCAATGTACAGACACTTTTAATTACTGGTGGATTTGGGGGGGGGGTTATTCAGATACAGTCTTTAAAAATATTCATTTACTAACTGAGTTTCTTTTCTTTTTTTTCCAGTTTAGTCATATAGCTATATGGGGCAGCATTGTGCTCTGGATAGTATTTTTTGGCGTCTATTCTTCTTTGTGGCCAGTCATTCCGATGGCACCGGACATGTCAGGGGAGGTAATATTTCTTTTAATTAACATAAACTTTTGAAAACACATGTTATAATTTTTATTTTAAGCAGGAAGCGATTTAAAACTTGCTCATAATCTTCTCAACAGTTTAGGAGTTCTCCCAAATGTGGTAATTTGACACGCCAGCATTAAAAAAAAGTTTCAGAAAAGCATTTAAACAGAAACCTGAACATTCACCTCTAGGGAACGATGATGATAAAAAAAAAAATATTTTAGAATGTTCAAATAAGAAAACAGTAAAAAAATAAACTAGGAGCAAGTAATGGTAAAGATAGTGGGCCCAAAAAAAAAAAAAGGGGGTGAAAAGAGATACGTAAAAATGTGTTTGCCAGAAATATGTAATTTGCCTTGGTAAAAGAGGAAAGCATCCACCTTCCAGTTCATTTAAAACTGACAGTCAAAATTTAAAAATCTGCAATGCAAAAAAAAAAGGGGGGGAGTCCAACTGCTCCAGTAGCTGCCTATTTAGAACAGGATCATTTCCATGAGTTTATGAAAACCAGTTCTGTGGGGGCTAAAAGCACCTCGTGGTGTAAGCGGTTCCCTAAGATCAGGACCGCCATTGAGGTTTGCTTCAGGGGGCCCATCCTCTTGATGTCTGATTGAGTAGACATACTAAAAGAGTATCTCTAGCCTGGGAGATGGTGAATTCTAGTCCTGCCTTAGGCATGAAGCTATCTGGGTGACTTTGGGCCAATCACCAGGAGACGGTGAGTTCTAGTCCTGCCTTAGCCACGAAGCCCATCTGAGTGACTTTGGCCCACTCACCGGGAGACGGTTAGTTCTAGTCCTGCCTTAGCCATGAAAGCCATCTGGGTGACTTTGGGCCAATCACCAGCAGGTGGTGAGTTCTAGTCCTGCCTTAGCCATGAAAGACAGCTGGCACTCTCTCGGCCCAACCAACCTCACAGGGTTATTGTGGGGAAAATAGGAGGAAGACGCATTCTACATGCTCGCCATCTCGAGAATAAATATCTAATCGGCGAATAAGGCAGCCCAGCTTGGTGAAACGGTTAAAGCCGCCGATCCAAATGCGTCTTGCCTCTTTCTGGAAATCGCTTTTTTTAACCGACCAGGAATTAAGAGGGACGCTTTCACCTGTGAATGCGGGAACGGATCCTAACCTCGTTCGGCGCCACTGGGGCCGATTCGCTGGCGATTTTGTATTATTTCTCCCTTACGTCTTTTGAGCAGGTTGGGCTCGATTTCCCAAGGCCGAAAGGGGCCGGGAGGGGGCAGAAGACTTGGCACTGGGCGGCCCCCGGCGAATTTGTAAATCGCGAAAAGGCAGCAGACGGAGTCCATCCCAGAACAGGCCCTCCCTGTTAGCGCCATTGTCTGCCCGGGATCCCTTTGCCGTTTCCCAGCTGACCCTCTCTGCAAGCAGAAAGATGTGAAAAGTTAGAGACAAAATGGTTCTGCTGAGCCCACACACACACACACACACAGACACACACAGAGAAAGGAAGGAAATACCTCCATGGGATTTTGCCTTTCTCCCTCTTCACCCAAACGTACAAAGACGCTTTCTGTCTTTAATGTGAATGTCAGCTTTAAATCTTTTAGTTTTGGATTAACTCTGCAAAAGGGACGGGGGGGGGGAGGGAGAGGAAAAAAAAATCTGACAGGCTTTCAAATATGATGCAGAAAAACCTTGGTGGTTTTTCCTTCTCCTAAACCCCCCCCCCCAATCTTTTCAATTCAGGTCTGCCCGTTTGTAAAGCCAAAGGCTGGGCTGAGTGAATGTGGGCGCCCCGTTGTTTCTTCGTTCATAGTTAGCATCACAATGCTCAGAATTAACATCCTGAGACCTACATTATCAATTCTGCTGTTTCACCGAGCAACTTTTAAGACAAGGGGGCTTAGGCAAGAGAGAATAGCTCTTTTGGCGTTTCCCTAACTTTAAAAAAGTCGTTAAGAACCTCCTTTTTTTTTTTTTTTAAAGGAATTCTATTTAAATCCCACCCACCCCCCTTTAACCCGGCCATTTTTTGCCTTTATTTTTAATTCAGAAATCAGTCCTATTTATCGTTTTTTTTCCTCTTGGCCTGCTTCCCCCCCCCCCACACCCCATTAGAAGCTACACATCAACTCAGCCTTTCTTTCTTGAGCACTTAGGCAACACACTCAGAAAGCAACTGGCCTCTTTTTTTTTTTTTCTTCATATGTTATGGATCTAATTCCGCCGAGAGAGCATCGTATTCGTTTCTCCGCGTGCACAACTTGGATTAAATCGCAGAGTCGTTTCCCTTCCACCTGTAAAGTCACTTGTATCCCTGCGGTTCCGTTTAAATGCCTTCCCAAAGCACAAACCGCATCGCGGGGGCGCTGATTTCACTCCCCTGCCCCATCGCCCCCTTGCCCCTCAAGCCTTAGGAAACAGGGTCCCTTGTCTCTGTGGTTTTTGGGGGGGGCAGGCTGCACTTCCAGGGGATTAGCAGGCCCCCCACTCTTCCAGAAGCCTTGATAGATCCAAGCAAGTCTTTTTTTGAGGCATCCCATATTCTTGCATTTAGCCGAAGAGTTATAAAAGGGTTTCCAAGCTCCCGCGTGCAAATTTCCCGTTTGCCCTTCGATGAGGTCAGATCTGTCCGATTTTGAACAGATGCAATGGCCAAAAACTCGTTTCCAAACTCTTCGATCCGTTTTATTTGGGGTGCTGCTTGTGTTCCTCATGTCATACGACCTGAAATTGCCACGGTTCTCTGTATAGCTTAGTGTTTCCCAAACTTGAATTTAAGGCATGTGGACTTCAACTCCCAGAATTCCATAACCAGCATTGTTGGTTGTGGAATTTTGGGAGTTGAAGTCCACATGCCTTAAAATGGTCAAGGTTGAGAAACACTGGTATAGCTGGAGCCAATGAGAGAAAATGCAAATGCCTATCATTGGCCCGTCAGCTTCTAAATGACTTAAAGTATCTTGGAAATCTCATTCGTAAGCTTCCTGTTTTTTAAATCCAGGGCTTTCAAATGTTAGGGTGCTTTTTGTGCAATCCCATCTCCTTCTCTGGAGAGAGAATAAAAGGTTAGGACGCGTAAATGAAAAAAAACTCGCAACTGTTTTGTAGGTTTCGTTCAGCGTATTTTATCCTACCACATAACATTTTGCAAGAGCGATAAAACGATGCGGTGATTGCAAGGTAACCCAAATCATTTATAAAAATAAAAAAAGACCTTAAAAATAAGGCTAGAACAAAGATAAAACTTTCACGGCAATCCTGAAGAAAATAATAATACCGACGGTGAAACCATACATTGTACTAGATCAGGGGTAGGCAACCTTGGCTCTTGTAGGACTCGTGGACTTCAACTCCCAGAATTCCTGAGCCAGCATGGCTCAGCTTGGAAACCCTTTCCCCTCAGCCTCGCTGGCTCAGGAATTCTGGGAGTTGAAGTCCGCAAGTCACGAAGGGGCCATAGTTCCCCCATGCTTGTTCAGGAATTCTGGGAGTTGAAGTCCACAGGTCATAAAAGAGCCAAGGTTGCCTACCCCTGCTCTAAACTAATAAAGTCTACATTAATTAACATTAATTATGCTTTCATATGTTCCTCTAGGCCAGGGGTAGGCAACCCTGGCTCTTTTATGACTCGTGGGCTTCAACTCCCAGAATTCCTGAGCCAGCATGGAGGAACTATGGCCCCCCTCATGGCTTGTGGACTTCAACCCCCAGAATTCCTGAGCCAGCCTGGCTCAGCTTGGAAACCTCTCCCTTTCCCCTCAGCATGCTGCTGAGGAATTCTGGGAGTTGAAGTCCACGAGTCCTAAAAGAGCCAAGGTGGCCTACCCCTGCGCTAGATGCCCACAGAATTTTTCCTGTTGAGTTTTAAAGGCCAGTAGCCCTGTAAATGTTTTCAGGAGGATGGATATATATATATATTATATATATATATATATATATATATATATATTATATATATATATATATAATATATATATATGTAGGTCTTTGGTTGTTCGGTTTTCTCCCGCGTAAAATTGGAAGTGTCTTGGCGACGTTTCGACGAAGTCCCATTCGTCATCTTCAGGCTGGTGTTTTCAGCTTCGTGCTTCGAGCAGCAATGTGTGGTCTTAGCTGTTTCTTCCTTTTAACTGCCAGTGGGGGTATGAACTGATTGGGTGGGAGCTTGGCTGTGTTCTGATTGGGTGGAGGTGTGTTCTGATTGGTTAGGGGCGTGGCTGTGCTCTGATTGGCTGGGGGGTTGGCTGTGCTCTGATTGGCTGGGGGGTTGGCTGTGCTCTGATTGGCTGGGGGAGTGTTCTGTTTGGTTGTGCTCAGGTTAGTCTGAGTTGCAGAGGGGTTTAAGATTTTGGGCTGCCTTGCTATTTTTTGGCTTCGCGTTTGTGGTCGTGCCTCATTTTCATGGAGGGTGTCAGTTTGCTTCGTGTATGGATTGGAGGGCTTTGAAGTGGCTAATGATGCAGCTCTGGTCTGGCTTCTGGTTTGTGGTCGTGCCTCATCATCGGTGTGGCTTTGGGTTTGCGTTTTGCGTGGATGTGTGGTGGTGACATCCTGTGTGGTTTTTGTGAGTGTGGGTCTGGTATCATTTTTTGTATTAGGGAGTCGTTTGTCAATAAGGGCGGGTTTCCAAATGGCTGGTAGGCGGGAGGTATCATCTCGCTTGTTCATGCTGTGTGGGCGTTTTTCTATCTCGATGGCTTCTCTGATTATTCTGTTATTAAAATGTTCACTTTTGGCAATGGTTCTGGTATTTTTAAAGTCAATTTCATGTCCTGTGGCTTTAAGGTGTTGGACCAGGGAAGATGTTGGTTCCTCTTTTTTGACTGAGTTCTTATGTTCTTCAATGCGTGCACTTATTCTTCTGTTGGTTTGTCCGATGTATGTGGTGGGACAAGTGGTGCATGGGATTTCGTATACTCCTTGATTTTCTAATTCAATTTTATCTTTGGGGTTTCTAAGGATGGTGGATATTTTTCTGTTTGTGCAGAATGCTGTTTTGATGTTGTGTTTATGGAGGATCTTACTGATTCTGTCTGTGGTGCCTTTTATGTATGGGAGGAGGGCTTTGCCGTTTTCTTGTTCTTTCGTCTTGGATTTTAGTGGGGGTTTCTTTTTGGATTAGGTTTGTAATCTTATTTCTTTGGAATCCATTGGATGTTAGTACATTGGTGAGAGTGTGTAGTTCAGTTTTTAGGTGTTGTTCGTCAGCTAAGCGTTTTGTTCTGGAGATGAGTGTCTTGGCTACAGAGTTGATCTGTGCATGGGATCACCCCTCTCACCTGTCATTGCAAACCTCTACATGGAACACTTTGAAACCCAAGCTCTAGAAAAATCGGATCACAAACCCAAACTCTGGCTCAGATACGTAGACGACACCTTCATAATCTGGCCACATGGGAAAGAAAAACTGGACAACTTCCTCACACACCTCAACAGCCTACACCCCAAAATACAGTTCACCATGGAAACAGAAGCTAACAACCAACTTCCCTTCCTGGATGTCTTAGTCTACAAGAAATCCAATGGCTCCCTAGGACACACCATCTACCAGAAGAAAACACACACAAACCGCTATCTGCACGCTCTCTCACACCACCACCCAGCACACAACCAACCCCCCAGCCAATCAGAGCACAGCCAACCCCCCAGCCAATCAGAGCACAGCCAAGCCCCTAACCAATCAGAACACACCTCCACCCAATCAGAACACAGCCAAGCTCCCACCCAATCAGTTCATACCCCCACTGGCAGTTAAAAGGAAGAAACAGCTAAGACCACACATTGCTGCTCGAAGCACGAAGCTGAAAACACCAGCCTGAAGATGACGAATGGGACTTCGTCGAAACGTCGCCAAGACACTTCCAATTTTACGCGGGAGAAAACCCGAACAACCAAAGACCTACATACAAACACCCGCGAAAACCTCAGAAAACATATATATAATATATATATATATATATATATATAATATATATATATATATATATATATATATATATATATATATATATATATATATATATATATGCTGTCCCCCTCCCCTTCTAGGAGAATCGTGCCGCACCAGCCTTTGGTCTTCATTTCCAGACAATGAAACAACCCACCAGTCACAAACAGGCTGTCTCCTTCAGCCAGGAAGAGTTCCTTCACTTCGCAACCGCTGGAGAAAATAAAATACGTTTTTATAGGCCGGAGCTCATTTTTTTAACGGGGGGGGGGTTCGTGCTGCGTTCTGAGCTCGTTGCTTTTCTTGCAGGCATTTCATTAACCAGCTAGAACAGAAAAAGGTTTTGCAGAGTGGAGGAGGAGGAGGACTGTGGGGTCCTTGGTGCTCTCTGAGTTCTGTGGTTTTCTTGCCGATGTTTCATTACCCAACTAGGTAACGTCATCAGCGGTAGAAGGGAGTGGGAGAGATATACATACACAAAGACACACACACACACACACCACTTCCTTCTAGCACAGATGAGATTATGAAAGGTCTGCAAGAAAACAACCAACTCCAGAAAGCACCAAGGACCCCACAATTGTCCTTCCTTCCTTCCTTCCTTCCTTCCTTCCTTCCTTCCTTCCTTCCTTCCTTCCTTCCTTCCACAAACATTCCTTTCTAGCACTGAGCATGTTCCCTAGTTGGGTAATGAAACGTCTACAAGAAAACAGCCAAGTTCAGAAAGCACCAAAGACCCCACAGTTCAACCCTGAGTTACAAACATTCTCTTCCATTGGTGCTATTTTTTTTTCTACATAGGTGATTTACGAAGATCAGCCTTCCACAGATATTTTATTTACCATCATTGCAAATGTTTCATTGTATATGTTTGTTTGTTTTTTAACCTATATAGGCCGTGATGTTGTTCAGCTCCGGAATCTTCTGGATGGGCTTATTTAGCATTCCAGTGACAGCACTGATATTTGATGTAGCATATAAAGTGTAAGTATGATATAATTAATATATGGCCTACCAAATAATTAATCTGCCCATTTGTTAATTGCCTAAAATTACTGTGCCGTCTTCACAGCTTACCCAGGACAAAATCCCATTAGTTCAACAGGATGCATTCCTAAGTCAGTGCATTTAATGATGCAGTATAACTATTGGCATATCTTCCTAATTAAATACAAGCTCAATTAGATTTACACATGTATGGAGAGTTGATTCCTTATGTCTACTAAATTATGACCTACTTTTGCAGATTGTTCTTTTGGTTGAGATTACTCTTCAGAGGAGAACAATGTATATACTGTGTATCACAGTTTTATTATATGAAAGTAAAAAATGTTACTGTATGAATGCAATGCTTCTTTGGAAAATCTTACTCCCCAGTTCCCTAATGGTTAATCTTAAAAAAGGAATGAATAATCTGAGTTTTCTGTGGGCTGCGCCAGTGTAATATATATTCTTTCTCAGATAATATTATTATGGAGCTGAATTTAACGTTAATCGGGTTACAATTAATTTTACACCCCTATTTGCAGACCGATTAAAAAAAAGAAGCCTTAGAATTTTGAAACAAACTAACAAAAAGTTTTTAAAATCTTATTTTAGAGTGAAGAGGGCAGCATTTAAAACCTTAGTAGATGAAGTTCAGGAGTTGGAAGCCAAATCGCAAGATCCGGGCGCTGTTCTGCAAGGCAAAAGGTAGGATATGGTTATCGGTAATTTCCCCCAAGCTCAAATATTAGCATTCTGTTTATGTCAGTGGTTCTCAGCCTGTGGGTCGGGACCCCATTTGGGGTCGAACGACCATTTCACGGGGGTCACCAAACAAGGCTGTCCGCCATTTTTTTCCCCTTTTCTTTGGCCACGCCCCTGGCACCCGGTGATATATAAGTGGTTGGGGATCACCACAACATGGGGAACTGTATTATGGGGTCGCGGCATTAGAAAGGTTGAGAACCACTGGTTTATGTGCTTCGGCCTGATTGGACCTCATCGCTTGGAGTCTAAAATCAAAGTCGTAAAGGTTCTTGAATGAATTTTGCTCCTAAAATGAACCAAACATTGCGTTCTCTTCCAGTTAATTCAATATCCACTTTAACCAACTATGCAAGTAGTTCAGCCTGCTGAGAGGAGCTGGGATTAGCTTGTAGCCTGTCCTGTTGTATCTTGCCACTTAAGGGTCCTTATTTCTACTCATAGTTCATTATGATTTGTACAGTTCAATGGGCCTGGAGGGGAAACAGTTGAATCCTTAATCAGAAAGGAAAGAGCTGTTGGAAACCAGGGACTTCAAAATGGCTGCACACAAGGATGCATTTGAATATACCTGAAGAACAGCTTCTGCTTGGGAGTAGCCCTTGACCTTGCAAATTTGATTTTTTTGTGTGTGTGTTCAATCCTTTCATTCTTTGTACTATTATTTCTTCCCTACTGTTATTTCCACGTAGTGGTATTCTCTCTTTTTTTTCTTGGCTTCCTCTCCCAGAGTAGTTACAGTCACCGCAGAGTAGTTAGAGTAACTATAATATAATATATTATAATATAACAATAATTATATTATAGTTACAGAGTAAATATAATATGTAAGTAATTACAGTGTAGTTAGCAGTATTATTTCATCAACCTGTAATTCCAATAGATGCTACTGGTGCAATAGTCTATAATTAAACGCCGTTGTATCATTTTAATACCTTTAGCTCTTCTTCTTAACTCTTTACAAGACAAGACTCACTAAATACCTTGCAGCAGTTAGAGAGTGTCACCTGTGTTTTCCAAACCTGTGCTTTATTTTCCCTCTTTTTACAACTTTTAATGGAATGATGTAAAGGAGGGAAGAAATTGGGAAGAACTATTGTCAAAGGGATTGGAAGAATCTTGAAGCCATGCTGGGCAGACAGAATAACAAAATCGGAAGGGACCTTGGAGGTCTTCTAGTCCAACCCCTTGCTCAAGCAGGAGAACCTATACCACTCTGGACAACCCTGATTTAAAGCACAAAGTAAACAAAAATAACCGTCATCTTTTCAGTTAACAATATTTATTAAGAGCCCGATCGTTGTGAAATACAGAACTAGTAAGAGAAATCTTCTGGCTTTGATAATAGGAGCTCAAACCGAAGTAGCGTTGCCAATAAATAATTCCATTTACAGTCCCTGAGTAGCTGCATATAGCTGATGTTATATATGTCACCCATTTAACACGTTGGTGTTAAACGGGTGAGGATTGCTCCATTGGTTCGTTTCCAATATTCTGTTCAACCGTTGTTATCGCAGTCTGGGTTCCTGCCCACCCGCCCGCCGTAAATTTTAGTGCGTTTCATCAATTTGTCACCTTTCTTTCCTAGCTTAACGGAAAGAGCTCAGCTGTTGAAAAACGTCTTTAAGAAAAACCACGTCAACTTGTACCGCTCCGAGTCTTTGCAGCAGAATTTGCTTCGTAAGTATTGGCGGTGTGCAAGAAAGGCACACAAAAGCCAAACGGCCACGAATAACAGCAAGGTCTCGTCAGAAATTTGGTGGCCCGTTGATTAGCTCATATATATTGTTCTAAAGTTTCATCTGCCTCCTGCATTGTAAACTGATTTTCAGCTACGCTGGAAGATTTGGCGAAGCGAAAAAGCAAAGGGCAAATATTTCGAACACATAAAAACAAATAAGCAAATGATTTTTTTTAAAAACAAATCGATTTTAAAAAGAATTAATCTCGCAATATTTTCCCACTGGAGGTGTGGTCAGCCCCCATAATCCTGGCCTTCCAGCAGAGCCTTAAACACTTGGTCCTGGGAGTGGCTGATGGGGCAGAGAGAAGATTCCCCAACCCACGTTGCTGGCCCTCTTGGTTTTTAGTTTCCTGTTTCTCTTAATTTTTAAATTAACTTTTTTTTTTACTCTTCACCCATTCTATAAGCCACCCAGAATCACTGTAACAGTAAAATGATCAGCATATAAATTAAATGAATTAATAAATAAAACCCCTTGACTTTCGTAAGCAGTTGGATAGCCTGTCGTGGCCAGCAGATCTTAATTTGGACTAGATCTGATCTAAAGAGGGTCAGATGACCTGGCCCTTTAATTCCTTCTTGGAATTGGGTATTTAAAAGGATCTAATCTTTAATCACACTTGTTTTAATCATGTCACATTATCGATCAATGTCCTTCTGAGTTTCTGTTTGGAAACTCTGTATGGATGGCTCGCCAAATCTGTTATCCTTTCCTTCCTTATTCTATGGCGGGTCCCTAGTGTTAGCCTGAACAAAAATGCTTCTTGGTACAGGTAGTCCTCGACTTACGGTTACAAACTGAACCCAAGATTTTCCGTTGCAAAGTGAGACAGCCGTTCAGTGAGTTATTGCCCCATTTTGCGACTTTTCCTGTCACAATTGCTAAGCGAGTCCCTGCAGTTGCTAAGTTAACAACACGGTCGTTGAAGTGAATCTGGCTTCCCTCATTGACTTTGCTGGTCAGAAGGTCACACAAGGGGATCGCGTCACACACACACACACAAACACACACACCGGGGATACTGCGACCGTCATAAATACAAGTCAGTTGTGAATTTTGATCACCTGACTCTTCTGAGGAGGCTGGAAAAGTCGTAAGTGTGAGAAATGGGTCACAGGTCACTTTTTTTTCCCAGTAGCGTCGTAGCTTTGAACGAACCATCGTAAGTCGAGGACTACCCATATTTCAGATTTAAAGAGGGTTAGAAAGATCCCCGTTGCTTCTCACGCCCGCTCAACTCTCTCTCTACTTCCAGATGGATACGCTTTCTCGCAAGACGAAAACGGGATCGTCTCGCAGTCGGAAGTCATAAGAGCGTACGATACGACGAAGCAGAGGCCCGATGAATGGTGAAGATCCCCCGGCTTTCAGTATTTGCCATATTCCAGCCAAATTAATGCGTTATTTCCCGCGTCTGCCAACATGGTCCAGTAACAAGATTAGGGGGAGTTGTAGATTGTTGTTTCTTGAAAGTTTGCATATTGAGTAGACGTAAGCACTGTGCAACTATACTCTTTAACACACCATCCCTCCGCATTTTCCAAAACGACTCGGATTTTGTAAGCAGACACTGAGAATTAACCTGCAGCCTTTTCAAACAGCTTATTTACAGTAAAGATGAGTACTGTTCCTGGGTGTAGACAGAGAGAGAGAGGGGGGGGAGGTAAATATTCAATATATGTTGAGATTGCTCAACATAGACTATACATTGAGAAGCCGAGTCTGTGCCAAGGTGTATAGGTGGTGAAATTAAATAATGAGCCTTCGATTTCCACAAGTGCTAAAGAACCATTTTAATTACCTTAATTCATGTGACAAAGGAAGCTCGCAAAGCAAGATACTTAAGAAGGAATTGGTTTAAATGAGCTTGTTTGCCAAAGATATTCCATAGGTCTCATCCTAGCCCTCCTGTGTGTTAGCAACGGTAGTGTTAGCAATGGTGTCCGACGTCAGAATTGCATGTTTGATACTCTGTACTTGAAAAGTTTTACAACAATTCGAAAACTGATAGGGTTTGATTTTGATGCGTTTAATTTCTGATCTGTAGTTCTTTTCACCTTTGGCCTTACAGAAGCCTTTCTTTTTGCGTTCGCGCTCTCGTCACAGAATGTGTACATTCGAAACACAGCGTTCATTTTCTCTTGTCAGCAGTGTGTGTCCTTGAGACTTGTTAACCCGCTTTAGAGTCCCAATGTGGTGACATTTGTGTGCGCGATTCGGATGTTGCTTTGCCGCCCTCCCCATGCATGTCATCAGGAACTTTCATTTTAAAAATAAAATAAAATAAAAGCAATGGTTGCCTGTTGGGATTGGCAAAGAGACAAGGATGGTGCCTTAACTAAGTTTCCTGTTTCCCAAACAGGCATGAACATTGTCAGACGAGAAAGAGGCAACTGTAATTAGCGACTGTTCAGATGTAGTTCAAGACCGTGGTGCATTGCATCCACCCCCTATGGTTACACATCTATAGGCCCTATAAAGAGAAGCCAATCCAGAATTTTTTTAATATTTACAGAAGTCAGAAATTGATTGTCCTTAGCGGATTGGGGTGGAGGTGTGCTTGTAAATGCAGGTTTTATTTACGGAGCATTTTATATATAAATTAGTTTACTATAACATAATTTACCTTGTTAGTCATGATAATCTGAAAACAAGGAATCAGTAATATCAGTTTAGTACTATACTACCGCATACGTTCAGTTTGCACTATAAAACAGTTTATTTGTGGTATTTAATAGGTTCTGTTTGTACATTCCCAAGTTTGATTTAAATTAAAGTATGCAAAGTTTGAGGATTTAAAATTAACAAGGTTTGTGTATGTTTTAAATAGAAACATTTTCTAGCTAGTAACGTAAAACTTCCCTTCTCATTAACGGAAATGTTTTGAGTAAATGTTTTTAAATCTTGTCATTTTGTAAAATCAGAACGAAAAAGCCGATTAAATTGCAGTCGTTTTTCCACTATGCGTGTTAATAGCCATTTCAGTTTATCTATAATATATTTTGTATAGACAGTTCCATGTCTAACTTCTGTGACATGTGCAGTTAATTTAATTATAGGCAAGGAGAAAAGTTGTAATAAATTCAGAGTTTCTGGGTCATATTTCCACTCTTAAGTCCATTTTTAAAAACTGCTGTGTAATAGAAACACTATTTATTAAATACTGCACATATGAAATATATATTTATGATTTAAGTATACAGTCTTTCATACTTATTTCATAATGGCACTCACGGTATAAAATTCTCTTTCTTAGACTAAGCGGAAAATAAACCAGTAATCCATAAAGCCTGTTACTGAAAAAGGACCTTTCAATCTTACAGCCTGAAATTGTCTTCAGGAAAGTTATTTCTGACATAGATACTTAATGCATCAATGAGAGCCAAATAAATCGACCTATTGTGCACACAGACACCCACAGATTCACATTGTCAGATTTAGACAATTAAAGAGCATCTCAAACAAACAAACAAACCCTGACTTATTGCTTTACATTAATTTATGGTGGCTTGTCCACCACCAAAGATTCCTGAAGCAAATTATTAAAATAATAATAATAATTCTGTAGCATGCTTATAGTACAGTTTTTAGCGGTGTATATTTCTTTTAGACTCAAAAAATAAAATCAGATAATAATCGAGCAAAAACTGAATTGCTTCCCATTGCTTACTTAGGACTTAGTGCAGAGGTGTCCAACTTTGGCAACGTGTAAAGCTTGTGGACCCCCAACTCCCAAAAACGGGGGTATTCTGGGAGTTGAAGTCCACAAGCCTTAAACGTTGTCACGGTTAAAGATCCCTGATTCTAATGCAAGCTCTTGCGGACTCTTTGACAGGGGGAATATTTAGTGCAGCCCGCCGTGGCAAAATGCACATAATCTGACATACAAATTGGGTCAGGGGTCAACCACCACTCCCTTCCCACCAGCATGAAAGGACGGCCTTGCATGCAACTGACCTAGAATAATGATCTGCACGCGGGAATGTATTTCTACTGCTGTCTTCTGATACGGATTGTCCTTGGTGAATCCCGACGGAGGCACAAATCTTGCATATTGGCTAGAATTCAGAACAGGAAACCTTCCCGAGTGGCCTACCCTTACAAAAACGATAGACCCCCCCCCCATCCGCTGCCCGTTATTGTATATTAGATTTTTTTTCTCTCTCTCTCTTTTAAATACGCCGCTCTATTCAAGATCCCAGGCCTCTTGTTTTTTTTTTTCCACCTTCTCTCCATTTTCTAATCGTTCGGGAAAGACGACGGAAAAGTTTTTCACACGTGCGATGCAATATTGGCCAAACAGACATATTCATGTTTTGAGAGTGCGCTTTATAAAGTGAAGGGGAGGATAATTTTGTCTGCCCTGCGCTGCCTTCAAGGATATAGAAAGGGTTGGATTGGAACACAAATGAAATTTTCAGATTCGTAAGAAGGTAAAACCCAAGTAAACTGGAACTGTTGAACAAGTCAGGATGTACGAGACAATATCTAATTTGCAAGCCTGTACTTTTTTGTTTAAAAGAGAAGCTCTCAAAGTGATTTATTACCCTATAAGGTAGAAATACTTACTATAATATAATGTATATTTAGGGATGTTGGTTGACACGCATAATTTATTTGACTAGAATTTTGTTTTTTACATTGTTTTACATTTTGTTTCAAAAATTACACTTTTCTTCATTATTTAAATTAAGGAAACTGTACATTCTGTGTATATTTTGTACTGTAGAATATTTATGTTAAGGTTTAAAAAAAAATCATCCTTGAAAGAATCTGGTACCATTCAGAAATCAAAAAGAATGTCTGTAACTGTGTGTTATTTTTAATTAAATGGATTGTAAGAATGTAGTACGATTTAACCAGAAAAATCAACCAATTGGATACACTTTGTGAAGCCATAAGTAGTCCTGTTTCCTTAGCTGAGGCTTACTTACAAAAATGAATTTTAATAAAATAGAATAGTTTGAAAACCTTTTTAGTTGTATAACAATAGAGGAAGTGCTTCAAAAAAACATAATACAATCTCATATGGGAAGACATCCTTTTTTTTAATCAATTCATGTTAAACTCTTTACTTGCTTGACAATTGGACCGTAGGATCTTTTTTTTTTTTCCCCTACTGATTTCTGTATTGTGGAAAAGTTGTTGTTTCAGTTACGTTTTAGTAATCTGTCTGCATGTCACTGTGTGAATCTGATCTGATGCATGCTTATGCTATAAAACTCCTTATTTCTCTGTTAGCTGAAAGAGGCATCAACATTTATGTTCGGTATGCAGAAGTGAAGCGTTGGTAAACAGCTAGATTGCCAACGTCATTTTGTTAGCATGGAATGGTCAACTCAGAAACAGCTACACGCCGAACGTATTCTAAAACAGAGGTCCCCACCTGTGGGCTGTGGTCCCCCCACTCACGCTAGCGCCCGTGACCCCGTTTGTGCATGTGCACGGGTGCGAATGGGGCCGCTAGTGCCAGGCGGGTATCCGCAGCCTATTTGTACATGCGCGAACAGGGCCGCTAGTGCTGGGCGGGTATATGTGGTCCGTTTGCACATGGGGCCAGTAGCACCACGCCAGCGCATGTGCCATTTGCGTGCGTACATGTGCGCGCACCAATTTGTAAGCCGCTCTCCTTCCCTACTGGAAAAGTTGGAGATCTCTGTTCTAAAATACGTTCCAAGACCCATGAAACAAATCGAATTAATCAATAAATTAGGATGAAAATAGACAGTGAATGTACGTTATCTACTCGCTTCTTAAGTGGTTTCAGCACAGACTTGGCAGCCATTTAAAATTTTGTGATTGCAAAAACGGTGGCCCAGGTGTGTTAAAAGCTAAATCATGTTTCAGTGTGGTTGTTTTAACCTGTTCTACAATTTAAAGCCATAATGCATTAACTTTGTTTTCTGCTGCAATTTTCTTGAAGTGTTGATTAAAAAAAAAAACCATAGGGAACTATGTAATATTTAGGACTACTGCATTCGAGGTAAAGTAGGATTTTTTTCCACTACTCTTAAACCATTACTGCTGAAACTCCTGTGGAAATTGTGAAGCTGCATGAATGGAGAGAAAAAAAATTTTTTTTTGATTCCGTGTTTATGGTAGTTTACTCAGGTTTCGTTTTAAATGGATGTTAAATGCACTGTTTTATAATGTTATTAAATTTTAATAATAGATTCACTTCTATGCAGTGTTACATGTCATTGGCATTTGGTGAATGTGCATGTTCTGAACTGCAAATTTTAATTGTTTTGTCTTCTAATTGTTAAAAGAAATAAAACTTGCCATTAAGTATTCTCCGATATTTACAGTATCTGCATCTTAAATATATAACAGCGTCTTCGGAATTTATTTCAAGGGTGTAGCCGACAGGTCTAAAATACGACGCGCCTCCCAGTACATCATGAAAGCTTATATGACTGTGACGCATATATCCATTTTTAATCAAAATATGTCTCTGTAAACTTTAAGGCTAGCTGCTTTGCATAATACAAATTGTTAAGAGAGAGGGAAAAAAAACCAGCAATGATAAACTACATGCAAATGGCTAAATTGCCCGTTAATAGTTTCCTTCTTTAACTATACTTTGCAGATTCTTTTCTGTCAATATCAGGACATATTAAGGCAGTGTTTCTCAACCTTGACCATTTTAGGGCATGTGGACTTCAACTCCCAGAATTCCACAGCCAGCATTGCTGGCTGTGGAATTCTGGGAGTTGAAGTCCACATGCCTTAAAATGGTCAAGGTTGAGAAACACTGTATTAAGGAGAGGGCGGAGAAAGCCAGAATAAGCAAACTTAAATCTCAACTGTCGTAGAGAAATGAAAGGAAGTGTTTGTTCCAGAGTGATACAATCCCATCTAAAGATAAATCAAAGTGAAAGCAGCCGGTGGAAGAATTGTAAATTATTATTATTTTTTCAAGCCGAGCCACATAAAGGAACGACGACAGCACAGTGTCCTCCATCCAGGAAGGGCTGCCAGTGGTGTACAAGTTACAAAATCTGATCACGGTTGTCACCTGCTGGTTGACCAGGAGCTATCTCCGAATGATGGAATGGGAGCCCGTTTCTGAATTAAAAGAAGGTGTTTCTTTACAATGGTAGGATCGCCTCTTGAAACCCACGCCATCTTGAAGGGATTCCATCTTTGCTTCTCCAGACCTTCCATGCACCATCATCTGAGGTTGAGGGTGTAGCCAATGGTTGATCTTCCAGAGTGGGTTCCGGCAAATATTAACAAAGAAGTAGAGAGAGGAACGAATCCTGCGTCAGTCTACAGATCAGTAGGATCTGGAGATCTGTCCTGCCACAACCCCTGAAAAAGGAGAATAACCAGCCCTAAACAATATTAATTAAAATGTACACGGTATTCTGCGGCGGCCAAAACACTGCGGATGGCTTCTGTGAGAATCCAGCTAATGGCGGCTTCTTCAACCCATCAAGATTCATTGTTTACTGTCACTCCGCAGCCAAGGTTGAACTTCAGCCTGCGTGCCTCTCCAAGGTTAGGCCGAAATCTTGCCGATTACCCTTCCGTAGCTTCCTACCGTGTGCGAACTCAAGCCATTGGATTTGTAAATCCTGATTTACAGAACGGGACGGATCTTCCGTCAGCTGAACCAACAGGCTTTGTATGGAAGGCAAAAGATTGCACTGCAAAACTAAAGGGGCGGGTCCACCTTCAGAGCGGGGTGGATTTCAGTTTGAAATTACAAACTTACTGAAATTACGGCTTTTTGTGATGATGTGTGGGCAACAAGGCACATTTAAACCAGGGCTCGGTGTAAGAGTGTGTAGGCTGGAAGGAATAAATACCAAACATCCACCATGCATTCTCCGTAATAATTTCAATTGCCGGGTTTAAGTGTCCAAGTCCGTTTGTTATATCTGAAACTATGTAGTGTTTATCGTTTCCCCTGCCCTGTTTGGTATTTTTAATATAGAAATAAAACCAAGAAATTATTGCTTATAGTTTTGTCATCTTAAGGCACGAACTTTAATCCTAGACATTTATTAAGAAGCCCCATTAAACACAAAACATTAGATATAGAATTGCAGTCTAATTAGTAGAAACGGGAACAATTGTTTTGTGTCGGGTTGTTTCCATATTAATACTTAAAAGTCAACCATAAACACTGCTTCAACATTATTTCTGCACTGATGACATTAATCTTTTAATGCAAAATAAACAACGGCCTGAATTCGGCAGCTTGATAACAAAACTTTACAGCATTAAAAAAACATACAAAATGGTAGAAATTTTTTTGTTGTTAATTTAAACGATCAACATCAAATAAGCATATTACTTTCGCTATGAAATGATTTATTGGTAGAAAACTGATCACCACTAAAACATTTAATGCCATGGTTTCACTTTAAATTACAACTCTTGAGACATTAATCTACGTGGCGCTAATTTTAGAAATAAAAATATAATCCCCTTTACCCTATTTCTGTATCCAAGGCGTACAACAAAATACAAATAAATACATGACAGACAATTTTGTAAGGCTGATAGTGCTTTAGCATTTTACTTTTACACTAACCCTCAATTAAATTATTTTAGAGATAAGTTGAGATGATTTTCAATCTCCTCTATAACACACCGTGCTGACAGTTCCAGTTTAAATCTGATTAATAAAATCTGACTTGCAACGAACTGAAATTCTAGCTGCGTTATTGCATTCTCATGCAAAGCTAAATCTGTAATATCAGATAAAACTATCTCACAGTCCATAAATATAAGAAGCGGTGGGCCTTTTTCTAAACTTGCATATTCAGACTTTATCCAAAACAAAACATCTTTTCTTGACCCATATTCTTTGTTGCTGGTCCTCCAGTTTTAAGAATAAAAATCCAGAATAAAATTTTGTCCATAATGATAATTAGACTAAAGGTTTATAAATTGAAAAAATTGTCACGGGTCTGCCACAAAACTATTTCCATTTCACTCATCCACCCTCAAACCAGATTCACTGGTGTGATTAAAAATATATTGCAACAAAGGTAAGTTTGTGGTAACGTAAATTATTTTTTTTTTCAATTAGTCTTAAAATGGGTCATCACTTGCTCTATTTTGACTTAATTTTCTCTTATCGGCTTCTGTAACAATACCTATTTGGGATTTCTTACTTAAATCTGGTGATACATCTATTAAAAATAGTCTGACAGTACATCAACAACAAGGGTTATCAGCAGTACATTCCATCATTCAGTCTCCCGAATGTAAGATTTTACTAACTGTAGTTAAAGTTAGTCCTCTCCATTGTTTTGCTGAAATTTCTACTTCTTTCTTCTTTTTTTAGAAAATCTTTGTTTAATCTCTTCCTACTTTCAAAGTGTACTCCTAACAACGCTAGACGTAGATGGTGAATTTCTTCCCTTATCAAATCATAACTCATCCAATACTGAGAATATCCCGTTTGACCTAACCAGGTTAATTTAGATCAGTGGTTCTCAACCTGTGGGTCGGGACCCCATTTGAGGTCGAACGACCATTTCACGGGGGTCGCCAAACAACGCAGTCCGCCATTTTTTCCCCCTTTTCCTTAGCTGTGCTCCTCCCTTTTATTCTATTGGCTTTTGAAAGCCAATAGAATAGTCTCTCTTGAATAGAGTCTAATTCTATCGGCTTTCAAAAGCCAATAGGAATTGTCCAGGCTGTCTCTGCCCTGCTCGGCCCGCCAAAAGTCCCATTCTGCAAACGGTGCTGCACCAGTTGAGTAGCCCTCGACTTACGACCGGTTGGGGGTCGCGGCATTAAAAAGGTTGAGAACCAGTGATTTAGATCTTCGGATCACCAGTTACTCACTTTAACCAAAGTATGTTGAGGGTCCCTCTGAGAATGTACAAACTGGGATCACCGGCTGAGAGCACTCTCCACGCTTAAAACCCGTCACCCTATCACAAACAAATTCCAAAAATCCGGGAATCCTTAATTAAGAACAGAATAACTGAGTTTTTAATGGCCTCCCAAATCCCAGCATTTAGACAGACTTTCTTTTGATATCGCTATTCCTGTAACAAACCACTTTTAAATAGTGAACCATTCTCGGCAAGACGTAGGAGACCCATTTTATCATTCATTCATTCTTTCTTTTGTATCCTGCCTTTATTATCTTTACAAGTAGCTCAAGGCAGTAAAGATATCCAATACACTTTCCTCCTATTTTCCTCATTACGATAACCCTGTGAGGTGGGTTGGACTCAAAGATGGCTAAGCCATCTCCTGGTGATTGGGGCAAAGTCACCTAGATGGCTTTCATGCCTAAGGCAGGACTAGAACTCACCATCTCCTGGTGATTGGGCCAAAGTCACCCAACTGGCTTTCATGCCTAAGGCAAGACTAGGACTCATCGTCTCCTGGTGATTGGGCCAAAGTCACCCAACTGGCTTTCATGCCTAAGGCAGGACTACAACTCACCATCTCCTGGTGACTGGGCCAAAGTCACCTAGATGGCTTTCATGCCTAAGGCAAGACTAGGACTCACCGTCTCCTGGTGATTGGGCCAAAGTCACCTGGATGCCTTTCGTGCCTAAAGCAAAACTAGAACTCACCGTCTCCTGGTGATTGGCTCAAAGCCACCCAACCCAAATTTGCATAAAGAGCAGGGCTATGCTGGCTTTTTTTTTTTTTAAAAGTGGAATTTACGGTACAAGCATCAACCCTACGGAAGAATTTCTGACTTTGGTCCTGAAAATAGACAGCCGAAACCATTGGTCCTTCAATAAGGGATGAGTAGCTACGGGGTGGCCGGCACCACAAATCCAGAGGACTGAGCAAGGTTGACCAACTGGCCCGTGGGCAAGCAACCTGCTGCGTAGGGGGGCGGCGAAGACGTCTCCAGGCTTCCAAGTTCGGGCCCAACGAGGGAAAAATGGCCGAGGCAGCCGGACGGATGAGCGGAGCGGGCCGTCGGGCTGGATTGTCTTGAGAGAACCCGTAAATTCGAGGAGCTGAGCATCATGGGTAAAGTCTCCATCGGGTAGCTTCGCAGCGAGAATCTTAAGGGGGGCTGCAAGGTGGGCTTCGGCCTCAGGCAGGTGCAGCAGTAAACGGCGACGAAAGAGCCCACGAAAATGAAAGCGATGAAGATGGATCCCACGATGAGAAAGGGGACGTAGGTCGGTTCTGGGGAAAAGAAAAAGAGATGGTCAGGGTAAATGTTGTCTGTGGAGATTCTATGTCATCCAGGTCAGGGTTGTCACAGAGGTCCTTTTCCAGGAGGCAATTGGACTTTCTTGTTTTTCTTTGAAGACGTTTCGCTTCTCATCCCAGAAGCTTCTTCAGCTCTGACTGGATGGTGGGGAACGGAAGGATTTATACTCCTTGCAGACAGCTGGTCATTTGCCTTCTTTGAGAGAGTCCTTGAGGCCACTTGGAGGTTTACCTGCGTCCTCAATGGTGCTTTTTCCAAGAGGCAACTGGACTTTCTGGTTTTTCTTTGAAGACGTTTCCCTTCTCATCCCAGAAGTTTCTTCAGCTCTGACTGAATTGGTGGGGAAGGGAAGGATTTATACTCCTTGCAGAGAGCTGGTCATTTGCCTCCTTTTAGAGAGTCATTGAGGCCACTTGGAGGTTTATCTCTGTCCTCAGGGTCATCTGAGTGGTGCAAATGGGTGTGGAGCCTTCTTGCAAGTGCTGAAAGGACTGTGTTGTAAATCATCTATCTCCAGTCTACCACACAGTCCTTTCAGCAGTTCCAAGAAGGCTCCACACCCATTTGCACCACTCAGGGGACCCTGAGGACGCAGACAAACCTCCAAGTGGCCTCAAAGACTCTCTAAAAGAAGGCAAAAGAACCAGCTGTCTGCAAGGAGTATAAATCCTTCCATTCCCCACCATCCAGTCAGAGCTGAAGAAGCTTCTGGGATGAGAAGCGAAACATCTTCAAAGAAAAAACAAGAAAGTCCAGTTGCCTCTTGAAAAAGCACCTTTGGGACAGATGATCAAGGTCAGCCCTGAGTTGATGGAGAATCCAATCATTAAAGATATCCTTCGGTGTTCTTCCAGGTAACCAGTGCTGCTGCAGATAGCCCTCACCTTACGAACACAATTGAGCCGGAAGGAAGGAAAGAAAGAAAGAAAGAAAGAAAGAAAGAAAGAAAGAAAGAAAGAAAGAAAGAAAGAAAGAAAGAAAGAAAGAAAGAAAGAAAGAAAGAGGAGGGAGGGTGGGAAGAAAGGAAGGAAGGAAAGAAGGAAGGAGGAAGGAAGGGGAATGGATGGAGAGAAAGGAAGGAAGGGAGAAGGAAGGAAGGAAGGAAAGAAAGAAAAAAAGGGAGGGAGGGAGGGAAGAAGGAAGGAAGGAGGCAAAGAAGGAAGAAGGAAGGAATGGATGGAGAAGAAGGAAGGAAGGAAGAAAGAATGAAAGGAGAAGAAGGAAGGAAAAGAAAGAGAAAGAGGAGGGTGGGTGGGAGGAAAGAGGAAGGAAGGAAAGAAGGAAGTAGGAAGGAAGGAATGGATGGATGGAGAGGAAGGAAGGAAGGAAGGAAGGAAGGAAGGAAGGAAGGAAGGAAGGAAGGAAGGAAATATTGTGTTGCTTTCTTTAACATCCTTTATTTGCATGAACTAGAAGCCAGTTTGGGTTGTGATTACGTTTTTTTTTTCTTCCGTATAACTTAAGAAAGCCTCTCCCAGCACTAGAGTTATTTGCTGTCTTGATATTACAACTTCAATTTTAAAAAAAGGCTAACCGAGACAATACTTTATTCTTGAACAGCTCGGGATGTTAGAAGCTATCGTTAAACTGCAAATGATTCAGGAGGCAACGTTGCAAAGATCCAGGGTCAGTTTGGGTGAAACCAAAGGTATAGAATTGGATGGTAGCGTACAAGCTTCATTATGTAGGGCAGAAAAACTCAGAAGACAAACGTCCACCTCACATCAGAGAACTTCTGTTCGTTGGCTCCAAATTGAAAACTGGTTTGAGGCCAGTTGTACTTAGTAAGGACAGTGAAGATGGCTTTGTTTTAAGGCGCCCTGCAACGTCACAATCACTGCACAGATTATAAATCTACGACCACGATAAATACGATGAAAGAAAAATTAAATCGAAAACTGCCAAACAACTAGGGAGGATGGGAAATGCCCTTCAGGTTAGGCTAGTTCGCTCAATTATTCAAGAGTACGGCTTCGTTGAAGTCAAAGAGGGATCCCAGGTATATTTACAACCTTTTTGAAGAGTTTTTTTTTTTTAAATGAAGGATTTGCAGAATAAGAGCTTGATTTCTGATCACTTATATCTGCTTGGTAGGAAGGAGGAGGAGGAGGAGAAGGAGGAAGAGGAGGAGGAGGAGGAGAAGAAGGAGAAGGAGAAGAAAGGAGGAGAAGGAGAAGGAGGAGAAGGAGAAGGAGGAGGAGGAGGAGGAGAAGAAGAAGAAGAAGAAGAAGAAGAAGAAGAAGAAGAAGAAGAAGAAGAAGAAGAAGAAGAAGAAAAGAAGAAGAAGAAGAAGAAGAAGAAGAAGAAGAAGAAGAAGAAGAAGAAGAAGAAGAAGAAGAAGAAGAAGAAGAAGAAGAAGAAGAAGAAGAAGAAGAAGAAGAAGGGGAGGAGGAAGGAAGGAAGGAAGAAGGAAGGAAGGAAGACCTGGTACACATTTTTGAAGGAAGGAAGACCTGGTACACATTTTTGAGTTTTCAACATTAAAAGTTAACCATATATGTATTTGTCAGCTATTTTTTCACCCATTCTCCACGGGTTAATATTGAAAAGCCATTTTCTTCTTTTATAACCATATTAATGTATTTCAGCAAATTTCGGAGACTTATCCTGTTCCCCCCAAAAAGGGGGCAAGGAATTAAAACTGGAAATGAGGGCTAGCAGAAAAAGTTATTTTCGAAGTTTTAAATCTTTACTCGAATAGCAAATGAGCTTAGGAGCATCTTCAAGGGTCTTTTTAAGGCCCTACATCTGAAGCCATTTCCCCCTTTAAAATTTTCTTTTCTTAAAAAAAAAAAAAAAACCACACAATTACTTTTGTTTCTACTTGGAAACCGCTTCTGGACTTTGTGCTCGAGGTGGGGAAAAAAAAAAAACATGAAACTTTGATTTTGGGTTTTACCGGTTAAGATAGGTCTGCAAGTTATAGAAATGGCTAGTTTATACTACGATGTCAAAGTAAAAAAGTTGAGGTTTGGGGCTATTTACCTTATTCTAGTGCACCCAACGAAGTTGGAAGTCTTTCTTTTTTTCCCCCTTTCCCTACATTTTTCCCTTCCCTTCTCCCTCCCTTATTTTCCTGCTGTTTTCTTTTGCAATTTTTTATTGTATTTTATACAAAAAATTAATTTAAAAGAAGACGGGGGGGGGCAGTGAACAAGGCTTAAGAGAAGGGAATTCCACCCTCTCGGTGGAAAAAAAAGAAAGCAGGAGAAATAACAATAATAACAAAAGGATTTCCTATTTTCTAGGATAAACCCTCCAGGACGCCTGCCCGCCCCGGCAGATGAACCATACAAATTATTCTCCGTTGCGCGGCATCCTGTGGCATTTACTCGCCGGTAAAAGCAGCCAGGAGACTCCTTGGGTAGATGCGCGCCCGAATTGGGGCGCATCCAAAAGGAGCCGCTCCTAACTTCTTCCTCGCTTGAGCGGAGAAGGGCTGCGCAGGCAAAGGCAGCGATCCTCTTCTTTTCCGCCTTCCCAGATTTCCCGCGCGATCCTAGCAGGACTAACTACCCCGAAGTAAAGTTGTAGGCAGGACTAACTACCCCGAAGTAAAGTTTTCCGGGCGATCCAGCCCCGCGCGAGGGCTGGATCGCTTCCACGGGCTGTGGTTTGGAGCTGCGCGGCTGGGAAAAGAAGAAACGCGCAAGTGCGCAAAGGAGGCTGTGGCCCCCCAGGAGGACGGGAAAATGGGGGGCGCAGTCGGGGGGGGGGGAGAGAGCGAGCTTCAACTGGGGTTTCTTTAGGACAACGAAGCAAAAGTGCCCAGGACGGGGTTGTTGCAGTTTGGTTTTTGTTTTTTTTTTGCGTTAAGTTGCAATTAAATCACCCCCAGATGACACCTGTTGTTGTTAATTGCCAAGTCGTGTCCGACCCATCGCAACCCCATGGACAACGTTCTTCCATGTCTTCCTGTCCTCTACCATCTTCTGGGGTCCATTTAAGCTCACACCTCCTGCTTCAGGGACTCCATCCAGCCACCTCATTCTCTGTCGTCCCCTTCTTCTCTTGCCCTCCATCTTTCCCAGCATCAGGCCCTTCTCCAGTGAATCCTTCCTTCTCATTAGGTGGCGGTAGATGACACCTACCGCCAAGCAATCTTCTAGTCCTCAAGACGCACCGGTGGCAAGCAAGCGAGGGCACCCTCCCTCAAACAGACTCACCGGGCTGTCCAGAACTTGACCTGCCAGTGGCAAGGTTGCCACGCGCGTAAAAACTCCTTTGGCGAGACCCCGATCGGCACCATCCTCTTCCTCCGCGCCAAAAGGCGCAAGGTAAGCCGGGTGCCTGCAGACACCCACGGGAGACTCCCTCCCTCCCTCCCACCCACCCCAGGCGGCGGACACTCACGGGGGCTCCCCGCCGGAGGCTGCGGCTCGGGGTCGTAGGCGCACCCGCCTTGCTCCAGGCGCGCTTCGGCGGCCGCGCAACAATAGCGCAAGGCGCAAGACCCGCAGCAGATGGTGGCGTCGGGGCTGTCGAAGCGCTCCGGGCAGAGGAAGCCTCCGTGGGCTCTGCCCTGCGCGTCTCTCCAGCCGTGGCAGTACTCGCCGGCCGGGGGCTCCTGCGCCCCGGCTCCCCAGCGCCCCGCCAGGCACCAGCCCAGGAGGAGAGAGCGCAGCCAGCCGGCGCCCATGGCTTCTGCGCGGGGGATGCTCCGGCTTTCAGAGCGCCCCCCCCCCCACGGTTCCTCCCCTCCCTCCCGGGAGGCCCCGGGGCAGAGCAGGGGGTGGGGGGGATACTCTGCCTCCCCCCTCCTCAGCTGAGAGCCCCCAGCTGGCTCTCAGGGAGACCCCCCCCTCTCCAAAAGGGCAGTGGCCAGCAGCCTGGTCAGCCCTCCCATAGGGGTGGGTGGGTTTTCCACTGGGGGAATTGGGGGGGGGAGGTTGGTCCGAGGCTGTCCTAAAAGACAAGGGGCTTTTTCCGCGAGGCAACTGGACTTTCTTGCTTTGTGTTTTTTTTCCTTTGAAGACGTTTCGCTTCTCAACGCAGAAGCTTCTTTAGCTCTGACTGAAGAAGGAAGGAAAGGAAGGAAGGAAGGAAGGAAGGAAGGAAGGAAGGAAGGAAGGGAGGGAGGGAGGGAGGGAGGGAGGGAGGGGGGAGGGAGGAGGCAAGGAAGGAAGGAAGGAAGGAGAGAAGAAGAAGGGAGGGAAGGAAGGAAGGAAGGAGGAGAAGGAGGAAGGAAGGAAGAAAGGGAATGGAATGAGAAGAAGGAAGGAAGGAAGGAAGGAAGGAAGGAAGGAAGGAAGGAAGGAAGGAAGGAAAGAAGGAGAGAAGAAGGGAGGCAAGGAAGGAGGAAAGGAAGGAAGGAGGAAGGAAGGGAGGAAGGAAGGAAGGAAAGAAGAGATGGAAGGAAGGAAGGAAGGAAGGAAGGAAGGAAGGAAGGAAGGAAGGAAGGAAGGAAGGAAGGAAGGAAGGAAGAAGGGGAATGGAGTGAGAAGAAGGAAGGAAGGAAAGAAGAAGGGAGAGAAGAAGGGAGGCAAGGAAGGAAGGAAAGAAGAGAAAGAAGGAAGGAAGAAGGGGAATGGAGTGAGAGGAAGGAAGGAAGGAAGGAAGGAAGGAAGGAAGGAAGGAAGGAAGGAAGGAAGGAAGGAAAGAAGGAAGGTTGAATTACAGAATTGCACAGTTGGAAGGGACCCTAGAGGTCCTCCACTCCAACCCCCACCCACCCAAGCAGAAGACCCCACCCCAGAGAAATGGCTGCCCAATCTCTTCCCCAAAACCTCCAGTCCTGGAGCACCCACAGCCTCCGGTGGCAGGCCGTTCCGCTGGTTAATTCTTCCCACTGAACCCTCTTAGAGTCAATACTGACGCTATTCAGCTGCTCCACAACTGAGTCCAAAGTTTCGGTCGCTAAGCGAGACCGCCGCTAAGTGAGTTTGGGCCCCCGCTTTATGACCTGTCTGGCCACAGCGGTGAAGCGAGTGGCTGCCGTTGCTCCTATGGTTGCACGGCCGTTAAGCGAATCACACAAGGACGACCCCACGAAGCCTGAACGTCCATGCAGACGCCAAGAAGCGCAGCCCCCCCCCCCCCCGTCTTGTGTTCCAGAGTCCTTTCTCGGCCACCCCTGCTCGGCTGTCAGAGCAATTACGACTGACAGCCGTCAGGCCAAGAGCCGGTGGTTAACTGGAACACCCCCCCCCGCCGCCCCCAATCACTTCCTATTTGCAATGCTCTGGTGCTTCCACGGCTGGGACCCCCAGGGTGGAGTGTGTAGATGTGAGTCTACTTGTAACTGGGACTCAGGGGCTGCAGCCTTTTCTGGGAAGGAGCAGAAGCTGGCAACACGAAGCCATTTGTAGTATGTGGGTCCTATTTGGTGTAACGACCCCCCAGGGGAGCCCCAGTTTTCTTTCTGTTAAGTGAGACGTCGGTCCGGCCAGCTTGGCTCCATTTTTAAGGACCTTTCTTGTCGCCGTTAAGTGAATTGTGGGGGTTAAATTAGGAAGTCGCTAAGTGAATTTGGCTTGCCCCTTAGTCTGAACAACCTCCCTCTCTCTTTCTCTCACTCACTCTTTCTTTCTCTTTCTCTCTCTTTCTCTCTCTTTTTCTCTTTCTCTCTCTTTTTCTTTCTCTTTTCTCTCCCCCCTTTCTCTCTTTCTCTTTTCTCTCCCCCTCTCTTTTTCTCTCTTTCTCTTTCTCTCTCTCTCTTTTCTCTTTCTCTCTTTCTCTCTCTTTTTCTCTTTCTCTCTTTTTCTTTCTCTTTTCTCTCCCCCTCTCTCTTTCCCTCTCTCTCCCTCTCTCTCTTTTTCTCTCTCTCTCTCTCTCTTTCTCTCTTTTTCTCTCCTCCCCCCCCTCTCTCTCTCTCTTTCTCTCTTTCTCTTTCACTCTTTCTCTGTTTCCAGCCTAATTCACAATTCTTTTGTGTTCTTTCAGTAGAAATCATTGGAATTTACTTATAGGAGAAATCCCAAAAATTTCAAAAAGTTACCTTTTACAGGATCACGTGACACACACACCCCGGGCCACTGCAACTGTCCTAAGTACATGCCAGATGCCAAGCATTTGAATTTTGATCACGTCACCCTGGGGTGATGCTGTGATGGTCGTAACTGGGAAAAACGGTCGTAAGTCACATTTTTCAGTGCCGTTGTAACTTCAGTCACTAAACGAACTGTTGTAAATCGAGGACTGCCTGTACTGTTAAGCGAGGTCCACTTCTACGACTTATAACTGCTGTGTCTTAACAGGTCTTTGATAGGAGAGCAGGTGGGGTGTCACCTGGATGCAGCAGGCACATCACAAATCGACTGTTATTTTTTGGGTGTGATGCTAGTTTGCATTATATGGAATTTTGATTTGCCTGCCCTTCAGTTCGTTGTAGCACACACTAAATAACACTACTTAATTATCGTTCGACCTTCTTCTTGTTTCAATACCACCTTGAACTTCCTCTTTTCTCTGCAAATGAACAAACAGCAAACTCAGATTTCATCAGTCTAGTAGTGGGAAAATAAACTGGCAAAGGTGGCTGAACACAGCCATCTAGTGCTGAATCAAGGGCATAAACATAGCCGGGCTAAAGATCTTTTGCACTCAGAGGCAGCAGCTAACCTGAAGACAGGTCGTGATTCTGCTCAGCTTTTGGAAATGAATAGAATAGAATAGAATGGAATGGAATGGAATGGAATGGAATGGAATGGAATGAATAGAATAGAATAGAATAGAATAGAATAGAATAGAATAGAATAGAATAGAATAGAATAGAATAGAATATGGAATGGAATGGAATGGAATGAATAGAATAGAATAGAATAGAATAGAATATGGAAAGAATAGAATAGAATAGAATAGAATAGAATAGAATAGAATAGAATAGAATAGAATAGAATAGAATAGAATAGAATAAGGATAAGGAGCTTCTATTTTAAAAAAGGCAAAAACATTCCCTAGCCTGAAATTTGTGCATCACAGCCTTAGCAAAACTTGTATTATGCTGCTGTGTCCCTTTCTTTTTTCTTTTTTTTTAAAAAAAGAAACAAGTAGAATCTGCTTTATCATTCCTGTGTTTTTGTGTGCCACTGATGAAGAGACTAAAAGTTCACATCTGTTTTTAAAATGCATTTTCCTACCTGTCAAAGCTAACAATCCAATTTTTCAGCTGAGTTTTTTTTTTAATCAGTATTTAGTTCAGCAAACAGTAACCTTTCATTTCCACAGACGTGTTTTGTTTTAACTTGCAATCACAGCTCTCAAAGCCAATTAGAAGCTCGGGAGAATCACTTGCAAATTATTTTACTGTCAGAAACAATTTGCTTTTATTTTGACACCAAACCTTATTTGAGGTCAGAGTCTCTACATCATTCCACCTCTTATAATTGGCTGGCAAGAATAGGAAGTGTACGGTAGACCGCACATTATTTATTGATTTGGCTCGTTATACGGCTACTTATCAAAATCTCGCATCAATTTTATGTTATCATGGAAGTCAATATTAAATAGAGACAAGAGACCTAGAAAGGATGGCAGGGTTAAGTCTCTTCTGCCTATATTTTAAGTTGACTTAAATCTGTTTGTTTGCTTTTTTTTTTTAAAGGTCTGTATTAATACTTCTTCTGTTTGGTGTCTCAGGTAGAAAAATAAATAATTTCAAGAAGAACTGTTTTCTTTACAAAGCCCAGCAAAATGTGCATCTCACTTTCCATCCTATTTATTATTGCTAATAATAGAAATAGAAAGACTGTGGCAAAGGCAAGCAAGGGTAGTACCAATAGTAATAGGCGCCTTGGGTGCAATCCCAAAACAACTGGAGCACCACTTGAACACCATCGGCATTGACAAATTCGCCATCAGTCAATTGCAAAAGGCGGCCTTACTAGGAACTGCTTCCATCCTGCGACGAGATCTGTAATACCATCAAACATCCACATCTGCCTATCCCAGGTCCTTGGGAAGGACTCGATAGGTAGACAAAAATGCCAAATTCAGTCTGCACATCTGGCTGACTGCAATGATTAATAACAACAACAACAACAACAACAACAACATAATAATAATAATAGAGTTGGAAGGGACCTTGGAGATCTTCTAGTCTAACCCCTGCTCAGGCAGGAAACCGCACACCATTTGAGACAACTGGCTGTCCAGTCTCTTGTTAAAGACTTCCAGTGTTGAAGCATTCACCGCTTCTGGAAGCAGGTTGTTCCACTGGTTAATTGTTCTGACTGTCAGGAAGTTTCTCCTTAGTTCTAGATGCCACAATGGTTGTGTGGAAAACAGTACTAAGTCACATTTTTCAGTGAATTTAGAATAGAATAGAATAGAATAGAATAGAATAGAATAGAATAGAATAGAATAGAATAGAATAGAATAGAATAGAAGGGAAGGGAGTGGAGTAGAATAGAATGGAATGGAATGGAATGGAATGGAATGGAATGGAAGAATAGAATAGAATAGAATAGAATAGAATAGAATAGAATAGAATAGAATAGAATAGAATAGAATAGGGAATGGAATGGAATAGAATAGAATAGAATAGAATAGAATAGAATAGAATGGAATAGAATAGAATAGAATAGAATAGAATAGAATAGAATCCCTTTTTTCAGTGCCATTGTGACTTTGAAGGTCACTAAATGAACTGTGGTATGTCAAGGACTAGCTGCCTTTTGCATTTATTTTAGCAATCTTCGA